TTTTGTTGTCTTCTTCCCCCCTTTTTCTTGTTGGGTCCCCTCTTTGTGGGACGCCAGCACACCCGGCGGGGGGCGCCGGGGGGGGGGGGGGGGGGGGGGGGGGGGGGGGGGAGGAGCGGTACCCATAATCGTGTTATAAAAAGGTATAAAGGAAATGGTCTCTAGTTGAAAGATTCTTGGGGGATTTTTACTTGAAAGTTTGCAGATTTTGATACTATCATTGATATTGATATCAGATAACTTTTCTTTATGCTATGAAGGGTGTGGGTGTGGGTGTGAATGAAATCTAGTATCCGTACCCACCCACACCCAGTGGGTGTGGGTGTCACCCACACCCACATCCCTAAGCAATGCCACAATTGTTCTTCAGTTGAAAACAACATTAAAGTTATATCTTCAGGGATTAAATATTCAATAAGAGCTGTTTTTAATGACGAGTTCTTCTCACCATACCAGAGTACTACAAGATCGTCATAATGTTCTAAAGAATAAACAAGAGAAAAAGTATAAGTATTTATTCTAAACCATAAGAATCTTTTTATACTAGAACTACTCTCATACTATTATCATAAGCCAAGTGAGATTGTCCATATCGATCAAACAATTCAGCAATTGACTTATTATTATCATCGATAGTTACATTATTTTTAGGCAATAATTGTCGTAGTAAAATGTCTGTAGACAATTGAACAAAGGGTAATGTATTTGTCAATGATGTCATACGAATGTTTGAAATTTTTTTAAAACGAAATAGAAGTAAAACAGTTAATCATAAATAATAAAGTACAAAAAAAATATCTAAAATAAATATTGAAGTATTATTTGAAACTACAAAGAAAAAAAGACGAACAAGAAAACGAATGAAATTTTGATGAGAATCAAACGATAATTTATCGTCTATTAACCATCGATATACTGAAAATGATATTTTATATATGTGAAGATAACAAACATTTTTTCCCAATAAGAAAAAGAAACAAAAGTATAAGACTGGGAAAATTCCCAATCTATTTAAAGCATCAAATCAATATCAAATTAAAATTGAACATAAATTCTTTCTTATAACTAATTAAATTACAATAAAAAATCCATTTTAATAATATGATTAATTTTAGAGAAAACCAGTTCACTGAATTCTCTAATACAGACAAGTAAAATCTTATATGTGTAATCCTCTAGTATTATATAACAAATGAATAATTTGCCGATTACTTCACAGAATAAAACAATACATATATATATTTTTCAAAAACTCCAGTTATGTTGGAAAATTCCGAATAAAAAAAGAACATAGAAAAAATTTATATTTTACTCTTTCATCATAAGACTAGATTCGTATAAAATTCTTCTCAGATATTACTTTATAGATCATGAAAAATGAAAGATTCTTCTTTTTTATTAGTTCGTTTTACTTATCGTCTGCTTGTTCTTGGTTTGTATGTCATCTTAGACATGTTTCGTTTCTCTCAGTGACAGCAATTAATAGAAAGTTAACAAATATCTGATAGTGACTAATATACATACATTAGAGGAGTTCGAATGCCTGCTATCGTTATCAACCGTAATAAAAGTGTTACGAAAATCGATGTAATCTGAAACATTGATTAGACTGTGAGTGTCTGTGTTATGATCCGCATCTTCTTCAGTTGCAATCGTAAGGATTTTTCCTCTCTATCTATACAACTATACATATGAACTTGTGTTCTTCTTTCTTTCTCTTATTGTTAGTCACCTTTCATAGATTGTTCCTTTCTTTCTATACATGTTGAATTTTCCATTTCGTTGTATCCTTCTGTCTTGTGTTTGTTATTTGGATTTTTCCCTGTTCATCGTTTGTAGGAATTTTCCAACTATTCTTATGATTATATATATATAGCGCTAAGTTTTGTGGAAGACGAGACATTATGAAAAGAGATATACAAATAAAGTCCCATGTGAAACTCAAACGCATATCACACGCATTTCATATTTTTATGAGGTAAAAGTGTCCTTGAACGCGTCCGAAGTAGCAGCCACGTTCACTTGCGTTTCAAAAATGCATCTGAACGCGTTCGAATCAGTGGCTGCATCTAGACACATCTAAAGCAGAAACGCGTCTCACAATTCTAAAGATAAAGACGCGATTGATCACTCTTTGAACTCATGGACGTATGCAGATGCATCCTAAAAGCATGAGCATAGGTTTTTTCGAACTCGTCTCTGAGAAATTACAATTTTCTTCGCAAAAGACAAGCATTTTAAATCATATACAGCACACTCCAATCAAAGAATCAGATAATTCGGTGTAGAAGAATATTATTTGAATGAAATTACACCAGTCATTTTTTTTTTGAAAGTATCTCTAGATCACGTATTTTGGAAGAAGGAAATCAATTTTGATTTTACTCTATGGTATGAGAATAAGAGCTTTCAGATTTACTGTGAATTTTATTGATATCTACTTGTACCGTAACGTATATTGAATATGATTTGCGTACAAAAAATGTACATGTTAGTCTAGTTATTGTGTAATTTGAACGATTCTGATTTTTCCTTTTGCGTTTCTACTATATATCATTGCATAGACGCTAATGTTCTGATCTACATTGAAACATCATATAAGTAAATACCCATCAATATGTTTTTTTTATTTGATAGTTCGAGTCGTTTATTTTAAATTCGATTGTCATTAAAATCTGAAAGTTTGATTAAGCTAAATTCAATATGAAACTGTGACATCTCTCATTAAAAACATAGTGAACACGATTTTCTGCCTGACATATGAACAATTATTTTTATATAATAGGCTTCTTTCAATTTTTTACGTAATTCTGAATAGAACATTACGTTAGAAATGTTAAAAGTTAAATTTTACCATCACATATCAATGTGTTTTGATGGCTATCCAAAACTAAAAGAAACCTAAACTTTTGGTTTACGTCTTATAAATACTAGATGATAAAATTGTTCGAAACGATCATGTTGTTGAAGTATGATATATTGAATCGATTGAGATCGTTGCATGATCTAAAAACCTCAGCATTATATTTTAAAACTAGACTTGTTCTGTGCATTCGAATGACTGAAAAACAATCGTGAAAAAAGATTAAAAAGTTATATTAACTGATTATTTCTTCTCGATTGAACCGTTATTTTATCTTATTATGGCCACAGACATAAATGTGCCGATATTGTAGATCTTAAAAACGATAGCGCCACATGATTAAACAAAGAAAGCATTATTGATGAGGCAATAATTGAATATATTCAAATTTTGAAACACGAAAGAAGTTTTATATCGAATGCTATTAAACACATAACACTATATGTTAGACTCTTTCAACAACATAAAATTATTCTGTCATGAAAATAGTAATAAACAATCGATACTATTGTTGCTTATTCATTCATTGTGCGAGTACTTGATTCTTTTTTCGTAGAGAAAATTCATGCTAATGATTTGAATTACTCGATTCATCGACAGCTAAATTAGAATCACATCCTTAGTTGATTTAACAAACATCAAGTGGAGTATAACATGCGGTGCAAAAGTCTTTGCACAAATGTTCGACTCTATTAGACCATATTGCCAACTTCTAAACCAATCAAATTTTTTTTTGTTGGAAAGAGCAATGTCTGAACTACAAATTTTGTACCAGACATATTTTTCCAAAATGAATCTC